CCCCAAAACCCCAAAACCCCATTAGATTAAAATTAATACATAAATTAATCATAATTAAATTAGAGATAATCCAAAAGCTAATTGAGATATAAATTAATATTTTCTATGCTCAATCACGGAAAAATGTATAAGTTTCATCATTATTAAGTCTCCTTATTTCACCTTAATAGGTACTTTCTCTGTTATCTAATGTTTGAATATGATTATCTCTATGCAATTACTAGAAGTTCAGAAGATTGGACACTACATCAACCTCCTCTATTTCTATCTGATTAGACTTGCTCTCTTCATCTGCATGACTTGCATTAGTTCTTATCTATCCTTAATTAAGTGCTCTTTTATTTCCTATTAAATTTGTGTTCAAAAGTATGCTATTGTTATTCCTAGGCAATTCCCGATCCTAGGAGATATTGCTATAATTATATGGTTCATTTCTATTATTTCCATTATTATGATTGGAATTGCTAAGATCCCCTTAAAAATTTGCATATCTATTTCCAAAATTGAGATTGCTGATATTTCTAGTTCCATTTATAAAGTTGCCGCTGTTATCCTAAGATTGAACTCACTGACTCTAGTCTCTTAATTCTATATTATCAGTGTACTAATCAGCATACTTTTAAAGTATCAACTCCATAAAACCCTCCATAGTCACACTCCTCTTAAATAACTCTTAAAATTCATGCCTTGTTACATCAAGTTAAACTTAGTTCTGCTGCCTGAATTCTTTATTTAATATCTTGATAAATTCTTCATATAGTGCCTTCATGTATAGTTTCTAATTAATGTAAAGCAATAAAATTCTGAACAAACCTAATATAGTTAAGTATCCTCCGATTTTAGACAGTCCTAAATAATATGTATCTGGTATAATAGTATAAATTTTCTCTGGCTAATATCTCTCAGAAAAGCCAAATTCTATAGTCACGTACTTTGATGAACTTTCACCATCTGGTATGTTTTGTACTGGGTATCTGTCTTAAGGAGGTTCTGTATAAAACCAGACATAATTTACGTAGTCTTCTCCAATCGCAAATAAATTTTCTTAATTTTTCTCCCAGATGGGCCTTATTAAAACTTTATATCTGTATGAAAAATCAAGTTAAGGTGATTTATAGCGAAATTTATCAAAATCTCTCCCTGTAAAATAAGCATTATTTGCTTCATATTGAATTCTATAAATTGAGTTATTATCAGGTGGACTTTAAAAAGAAACATCAAATCTAAATTTTACATCTTTGGAAATAAAGAAATTCAGTTCATCTTTAGAAAAATCTGTATTAATGAAATCAACCTCTATCCTAATAGAGTCATATATAGAGCCTTTAGATTGATAGGTTAAGTTTATTTAGTGGCTTTTATCAAAACTGTCAATCACAGTTAATTTAGATTACTAGTTAGGTATATTTACTGATTTAGATGTTTCTGATAAAATAAATGTGAATTTTGTTCAATTTTATAGAAATTCTTTTATTGAAATTTATTCCTTCTTTTCAATGTCAAAGGGAGCCATTTCTTGCTTACTCTTTATGTTTATTCTATCAGTTACTGTCTGTATTGTGTAGATTGAGAGATACACTGCAATAACAACCCCTATAAAAGTAGCTATTAAAGTCCACCAAGAAGAATAGTAAAATCAATTTTTAAATCTCATTGCTCCTATTGGATGCTAACCCACTGAAAGACATAAAAGATTTCTCAACATTAATTGATTATTTGCCCTAATTATAATTTTGATTATTTAATTATTTTAGTCAATAAAGAAAACAGCTAATATATTACGATTCTCACAATACTGAAACCTTATACTCATGGGGTTTTGGGGTTTTGGGGTTTTGGGG